AAAAAAAACGGTGCAGCTAAACTAAGCCGAAAGGTGGTTCATCCTCTGCTCGAGCACTGTGCTGCGCCCTGGAGTATACTCGCGAAAAAGCAATGTGCTTGGAACATTTTTCTTTTTTTTGACTGATAAGTTTTTCATTTTTGCCCTATTAGTTTTTGTTACTATGGCTTGCTATGCAAGACGTCGTATTTCTGGAACCGAGGAAAGGCATAGGCCTTGCCCGACGCTTATCTTTGGCAGTTTCTCACATTGCACACTTTTTAGTGGAAATTGACGAAAAAAGGCCGGGCTTATCCGGCCTTCTTGATTGCATGTGAGGCAAAACTGTCAGTTGTCGTGAACTTCTTGGGACATTTCGCTGACCGTTGATAGTGCAGAAACTTGTGTTTTTTTTAATACGCGAAATTGAGCAAAAAAAAAAAACAATAAATCTTCATCTTTCTTTTTTTACCACGTCCAAGGCTGATTGCGGGGTTAATAGTGGCGATGGCATTCACTCACATACGCTGCTGCACTGCAGATGCAGGCGTAATCTGCTACTTACTAAGTAGTCAAAAAAATTTGGAACTGGGATTTGGAGGGAAGATGACCGGTGCGAAACGCTAGTAGTTCCGGCGGCGCTGCTCCGTCTGAGTTTAGTGGGACTGAGTTCCTGCTTTTTGGTTGATTTACATTCAGTGGCTGCTCATTCCAGCATTTCCTTTGCTTCTTCCATTCTCTTCGCTATTCACGGCACCGTAGACGTTGTCGAGAAAATAAGTTGGAAAACCAATTAATTTTGTCTGTTTATGAAAATTTTCTGCTCACATCACTTGCTTCCGCTGCGTGCTTACGCACCATACCGTAACTCATCACGGAATGCCCATTATCAGCGATTCTTGAATGATTTGCTCGTGCGCCCCAGAGCAGTTGTGGAATTGGCGTTCATGATGCGTTTGTGTATTGCAGGTAATAAGGGCTTGTTGATGCATTGCTGAATCAGTGGCATGGAGCGAGTAGCCAATCCAGAACAGCAGGTCAGATTTTGGTTCACAGGCACATATCGTGAAGTGCAGAATTTTAAAAGAGACACAGTCAAGAAAGACGCGCGAACGCACTGAAAGAATAAATTTTAAGTGCTGCAACCAGAATCACAGTCAAATGGGGGGCGAGTGTGGACGCAGTTGGGAGGAAAACTGATTTTGTCTGTAGC